AGGACCACATGGGATGCCAGAAATCAAACTCGGTCAGCTGTGTGCAAGGCAACCACCCTACCCCCTGCACCATCTCTCCAGCCCTGTGGCGTTTATGGTCTTTGGTGTACAGTTCTCGCAGTTCCCAACACTAAAGAGCCCAAGATTCTACCTCTGCTGCTGCATTACCTCCTGTCCACCTCATCCCCCTGAATCAGACGCTCTTATTTGATATTCTAGTGCCAAGAGTAACTCTATATTTTGATAGCTTGAGGATGTAGAGGGGGGAATACTTTTGGTGATCTAACCAGAGTGAAAAAAAAGCCAGGAGTGAGCCCTGAGCCCTGCTGGGTATGCCCCCCTGACAGGAAAAAAAAGAAAGGAAGGAAGAAAGAAAGAAAGAAAGAAAGAAAGAAAGAAAGAATAGCCAAGATAGCCAAGAATAGCAATAGCCAAGACACTCCTGGAGAAAATTTGTTCAAGTAGATAGCAAGGCTTATGTAGGCAGGGACATCAGTAAGAGTCAGAGGCATTGACATAGGGACCGTCAGTTTGGAATAGAACAGTGAGACCAGAAATAGGCCCAGGCACTTTAGAGCCTATCAGACTAATACTGCCAATGCAGACGAGCGAAGATGGGCATTTGAAAAACTCGTCATTTGAAAAACAAGGAATGGATTCCCTCCTTCACAGCAGACAACAGCTAACTCTACGGCCTGGGGTTGTGACTGAGGATAGGACTTTTGTCTTGTGGGCACGATGCTGAGTTTGATCTTGGGCATGACCATGCTGGGGGTGTCTGCTTGGGGTCCTTGGTGCTCAACAAAGTGTGTGATCTGCAGCACAGTATAATAGGGTGTATCAACCCTGATACTGTAGCAGCAACAAAGTTAAGGGGGGGGTAAACAAATTCATCTAAAAAATCATTCTATATAGATTCATAATTTATTGATATTTGGGCCACACCCAGTAGTGTGTGGGGTTTACTCTTGGCTCAGCACTCAGATATCATTCTTAGTGGGGTTCAGATGGCCATATGGAGTGCCAGGGATTGAACTCAGGTTGCCACCTGCAAGGCAAGCACCCCACCTGCTGTACTATCTCTCCCATGGATTAATGATTTAAATATGAAAGGGAAAACTTTGTATTTATGGTTTGATTTCATTTCCTGTTCTTCTATTTATTTATTTATTTATTTATTTTTGGTTTGGAAACTATATCTGGTGGTGTTTTGGGACTATTCCCAGCTCTGTACTCAGGAGTTACCCCTGAGTACAGAGCTGGGAATAGTCAACAGCCAACAGAGTTGGGAGTAGCCCCTGAACACCACCAGGTGTGGCCCAAAACAAAATGTATAATGACATGTATCCATCTTTATATCAAACAGAAGAGTTTCACTGGCCTACATCTCCTTCGTGGCCCCACCCATTCCTCCTCATTTACCTCCATTCAATTCTTGGCAGGCTAAAAACACTTTTGTTTTGTTTGGGGGCCACACCTGAATGTGGTGTGTATTCGGGGCTTACTCCTGTCTCGGTATTCAGGGATCACTCCTGGCAGGCTTAGTCAGCCCTGTGGAATGCCAGAGATTAAACCAGGGTAGACCAAATGTTAGACAAGCACTTTAACTGCTGTACCATCTCTCTGGCCCCAGGATAATTTTTTTTTTAAGACACCTAAGTTACTAACCACAAAATAGACTGGCCAATTAATTACCTTTAACTTAAGATCCTCCATCCTTAAGAAGATAGTACAGAGGTACAGATAGCCTTGCATGTGGCTAACCTGGGTTCCATCCTGGTACTCCATATAGTCATATGAGCACTGCCCGGAATGATCCCTGAATGCAGAACAAGGAGTAAGTTCTGAGCACTGACAGATGTGGCTCAGAATCAAAAACAAGCAAAAAGAAATAAGGTGAAAGGATCTTGGATGGACTGAATCTTAGACTGGAGATAAATTAATCTAAATAAATAAATCTAATGGAACATCTTGGTAAAATTTCAGTATGAAATGGATATTTACCAGTAGTATTATATCACTGTTAAATTACCTATATTTGAAAATTATTCTGTGAGTACATAAGAGAGTCTTTGTCTTTAAAGATCCAGGCTGCAACTTCCTCTCAAATGATTCATCTTAAAAAAAAATGGGGCTAAGTAGGTAGTATAGGGGTTAAGATGTTTGCCTTCAACCTCACCAACTCAGTTCAAATCCCCATAATCACAGATGGTCCCCTGAGCAGGGTCACTCCTGAGCACAGAACCAAGTATAGCTCCTGAGCACTCTCAGAATTGATCCCCAGGATGTGGCAGACCTCCTGCTCCAATACATATGGACGAGGGCTGGAAAAAAATTCAGTGGGTAGAAGCCATGATTTTCATGTAGGAGCACTGAGTTTGACCCCTGGCACCACATGGTCCCCTGAGCACTGTCAGGATTGACCCACAGTATTGAGCCAGGAGTAGCCCCTGAGTACCATATGTGAGCCCAGAACAGAAACAAAAGGAAGGAAGGAAGGAAGGAAGGAAGGAAGGAAGGAGAGAAAGAAAGGAAGAAAGAAAAAGAAAGAGAAAGAGATAGAAAGAAAGAACGAAAGAAAGAAAGAAAGAAAGAAAGAAAGAAAGAAAATATAGCTGATCCTCTGTCAGCAGATCTACACATCTAATGACATTTTCCAGCCTAGCTTCTACCTCTTTTCCCCTCCCATGCACAAGCTTGCAGAGCTGGTTGCTGTCAGGTACTTTCCCCAATAGGACATCTGTCCCTGCACTTTCCTATTCTGGGATGAAATACAATAAATAGCCCAACATTAGCAGACGGCAAACCTCACAAATGCATTCCACTGAACTCCAAGGAAATGTGTCCCCAGCTCAACCCACCTTGGCCCCATCCCAAGACTCCTGCAGCTATCCGTCATCACCCAGCTTGAGAAGAGTTGAAGGAGGGGAAGCTGTAGTTCAGGAAGGAGAGCGCTCCTAATCCATGTGGCTTAAATACCAAATTTCTGCAGATTTCACAAAAATATCTGATCATGTAAGGACTCAGCCAAGACTCTATAAGGGCTATACAAGTTTTTTGAGAGTGACAGCCTGGCTGCTCAAATTTCTTGAGCTTCATGGTTAATTTGCTTCCCATTAAAAAAAAAAAAGTTAGTGTAGACAATATGTGTCTGCAGGAAAATGGTCACAAAATGGGAACCACACAAACTTCTTTACAGATACACAGTATCAAAGCAGTGGAAAGTTTTACATTTTTGTTACAACTTGGATAAATCAAGGAACAAGCATTGAAGGATAAAAGCAAATTCCAGAAGGTATATAGGGGGGAGAGGGGTGAGCACTGTGTGTATGTGTGTGTGTACATTATTTTATAGTTGTAGAGCACTTGCTTTATATGTGTAAGAACTTGGGTTGGATCCCTGATACCAAACTCAAATGGGAAAAAAAAATGAAACAATGTATTGTTTTAGAATGCATTTGGGTCAGAAAGTTAGTGCAGGCTGTTAGTATAATTGCCTTGCATACATTTGACCTGGTTGGATCCTGACACCCCATAGGGTCCTTCCAATATTGCCAGGGGTGATTCCAGAGAACTAGCCAGGAATAAACCCCTCTAAGCACAGCAAGTGTGGCCCAACCCATCCCCCCTCCCAAAGTAAGAATTGGGGGTTGGGCCACAGAGATAGCTCAAAGAGCTGGGTGCATTCTTTGCATACAGGTGTCCTTTGCATGCAGCTGTCCCAGGTCTGATCCCCCAACACCTCTGAGCATGATTATGAGAGATCCCTGGGCACCTCCCCAAAATGCATCCAAGTATGATCAACTATTAAAAAATGACAAGGAAATGCAAATTCCGCAGGAATGAGGCTCAATTGTTAAAGCACAAGACTTGCATGCATGAGATTTGGGTTGGATATCTGGCAACACACATGCACACATATTTTAATGGTAGTGATGAGGGAAGAAACGGGGTGGAATATAGGAAATGCCTAGGATCTACCACAGATCACGTGAGTATCACTGCAGTCACTGACTCTCATTTTATTAGTATGCTTTATTTCAAGATGCTCAACATACACGTAAAATATTAGACTAAAAATATCTGTCAGGGACCTCTGATTTCTCCCCACTACCACTGCTTTCCAAAAGAGGAGCTGCTTGGAGATCCAGATTCTGGCAAGCCCAGAAATGGTAACCCAGGCAACTAAGATTAGACTTGGATTCTATCCTCTTCGTGCTCGGGCAGCCTTGGGAAGCGGTAGGTTTTAACCATAGTATTAAACATGCTGATTATAGCAGCCCAGATTGAATGGGGGAATATAGGAGAGGGAAAAAAAAAACTTGCTTACGCTGCTTAATTTTAGTGTAACCCGGCCTGTTACAAACACAATTAAGTTTTCAGACCCAATGATAGCGCTGTTCTCCGCCCCTTTACTCATCCTTTCCACTTTCTAAGTATACACACTTAGCGCACACCCTCCTCGGCCTTTCCAGGACGGCGGTCGACTATTTACCACCAGCCCCGGCGCCCTCGATTACGTGGATTCCATCCAGAGGATCCCCCAGTCATCCCCCGGCGTCCAGAACCCAGTTTAGCCCTGCTGGGGCCCTGAGGAGTAGCAGGGGCTGAGCCTAGAGGGGCGGAGCGAGCACGGAGCTCCCAGGCCCCGCCCCTGGGCGGAGCCCCGCCCCCTCCGGCGGAGCCCCGCCCGCGACCCCGCCTTCCCCGCCGCGCCGCCCGTGCGCCCCCACAGCCGGGACTAGTGGATGCAGCGCTGCGCACCACCCCTCCCCGTCGTAGAGTGGCCGACTCGGTCGTACCAGCGGTCGGGAAGTTCGGCCCAACGCCTCGCGGGGCCCCGACCCCGTGCGGTGCGGTCGCAGGTTCCCCGACCCGCGCGGGTGAGCGTGCTGCAGACGCGGGCAGCTCCGGCCTCCCGGGCCCCGGGCCTAGGCCGCGCGCGACCGGCTCCGTGGCCAAGCAGTGGCCCCTGCTCCCTGGCCGGCGGCCCACCCGGCCTCCTTCCGGAACCCGCGCCCCGCCCTCCCGTCTCCTAGCAACGCCGTGACGTTCTCGCGCTCCGGGGTGTGGCGCCGCCGGGCGGGGTGAGCGCGCGCGGGGGCGCGGGGGCGCGGGGCGGGCGGTGGGGGGCGTTGGCGGGAAGGGGAGGCCCTGCCCAGCCGGTTGGGTTTCGCCTTTGCCTTTTGAGGACTTGGAGTTTCCGCGCTCTTCCAGCTTCCGCGGCGCCGCCCGCCGCAGCCCCAGCGGGCCCGAGGCCTTCCGGCTGCCGGGATGGGCCTTCCATGCCCTCGGCTTGCACTTCTGCGGGGGTTTTTATGGAAAAACGGAAGGGGGCAATTTATCCTGCGCTTTTTTTTTTTTAAAGAAAAAAAGGTGTCTTTGAGACTCCCCAGATTAGCTTCAGAATCGTATTTCCCGCCCCCTGCCATTTTGCAAGAACATATTTTTGGTGTAAATAGTTGTGACTGTGGTTGAGGAATTGTGTGAGTTCGGACAAATAGCCCTGTAGGTGGTTGAGTTTCCAAGTGTGAAAATGAGTCTTTCTTACATACTATGAGATATATATGCATATCTGGATAGGGAGGAGCGTGTGAAACTAACCTTACTTATTTTTGGTTTTGGGGCCACACCCGGCTATGTTAAGGACTTACTCCTGGCTCTGCGCCCAGGGATCACTCCTGGCAGGCTCTGGGGACCATGTGGGGTGTCACGGATCAAACGCAGGTTGGTCTCATGCAAGGCAAGTGCTCTACCCACTGTATCATATCTCCTTCCAGAACTAACCTACTTTCGAAGCTTGTGAAGATGAGGTGAACCTGTGAAGCAGTAAGAGCTGTACTGGGAACATAGTAATTTCTATGTTACTTATAAACAGCAAACAGCAATTTCCTCAATGTAGTTTTGACCATAAAGATTCCAGTTATGAACTAGGTTCCCTATTTTGTGAAAATGTAATAGAATTTGCTCCAAATTTTGATAATGTGGCATTTTAAGATGCAAATGTTTAGTAAAATAATAGGTCTGTGTGGGATATGTATGTGTGTGGGGTGTGTGTGTGTGTATGTGTATGTGTGTGTATTTGTAGGTACCACCCAAGGCTTAGCATGTCGGGCATATGCAGTGGTTAGGGTGCTTGTCTTGCATACGGCCAACCCAAGTTCGATCTCCAGCATTTCATATGGTCCCCTAAGTTTGCCAGAAGTAATTCCTGAGTTCAGATCCAGTAGTAGTCCCTGAGTGCCACCGGTTGTGGCCCCCAAACCAAATGAAAATAAAACAAAGATTAGCCTATCTTCTTTGTTCCTTTGAGGCAAAGATAAAGGAACAGGAGGATGACCGGGTTTCTTGCCTTATATGGGTACTTTATTGAGGGTAAAGTTTATTTTGTTATACAATTTCCTTAATAGAAATAGAAGAATGTTTGTTCCAAGATCCCTTAAAATCAAGAGGAATGCTAATGAGGACAGCAAAATGTGTGCGTCTAAGAAAATTAAATCCGAGGCAGAAGACCTCCTAAGGAACTCAGGGGGCAGTGATGCCACTGACCCTTTAGTTACAGAAGCAACTGCATCCCCAGGAAGGTCCAGCCCCACACCTTGTCCCTTGCCCAGGACAGCGGGCCAGTTGACAGATGTGAGTGGGGTAGATCCTGCGCCGGGGATGAAAGACAGCCAGCTGGCTGAAGAGCCTGTGAAGTCCTTTTCCAAAACACAGCGCTGGGCTGAACCCGGGGAGCCTGTGTGTGTAGTCTGTGGCCGCTATGGAGAATATATCTGTGACCAGACCGATGAGGATGTGTGTAGCTTGGAGTGTAAAGCAAAGCACCTGCTGCAAGTGAAGGAGACGAAAGAGAAATGGAAACTCGGCCATCCCCAGGAAGTTGATTCAGAGCCAGTGCCCCCGCTTGAGGCTGTTTATGTCTACAGAGAGCACCCCTTTATTTCCAGCCTGCAGGAGGACCAGGTTGAAAATCTTAAACAGCAGCTAGGAATTGCAGTGCAGGGAGAAGACGTGAGGAGGCCCATCATTGACTTTGAGCACTGTGGCTTCCCCGAGGCCTTAAATCACAACTTGAAGGAATCCGGCTATGAGGTGCCAACCCCCATCCAAATGCAGATGATTCCTGTGGGGCTCCAGGGAAGGGACCTTCTGGCCAGCGCTGATACCGGCTCGGGAAAGACAGCTGCTTTCCTTCTTCCTGTTATCACCCGTGCTTTATTTGAAGTAAGTAGGACTTGACATGTATTCTCAGGAAGAAGTGAGGTGGGTGTCTCATTTCATCCTGAGCCATGTTAAAGCTGCAACCTGTTTAGAGCTTTACTAGGATTATTACAACTATTATTATTTTAGTTGGTGGTTCACACCCAGCTATTCTCAGGGCTTACTCCTGGCAGGGCTCGGGGGATCATTTGGGGTGCAGAGGGTCGAACCCAGCAAACCATGTGTAAGACAAGCGCCCTGCCTGCTGTACTGTCTCTCTAGCCCCAAACCTGGTTCAACCTCAGCATTTCTTACAGTCCCTGAGCAGTTCCAGGAGTAAGTCCTGAACACCACAAGATGTGACTGGTGGTGAGTGGTGGTGGTAGTGGGGTTTGGGGGTGGGGTGGAAGCATGATACTGAAGCATCAGGGAGAAAAGAAGAAAAGAAATGGGTTACTTATGGTGGTTTTGGAGAAAGGATCTACAGTAAGCTCTAGACCAGCAGGCTGAGGTCATGCTGGGTGGAGGGGAAGGAAGGGGGACAATCTCCAGGGTAAGGAGCCTGGAGTCACCGCATGGCTTCGTACCTGTCTACACGAGCCATCTTAGTTGCTTTACATGTACCTTCCCACATTTTTGCAGAACGAGACTCCCTGCGCGCTCATTCTTACTCCCACGAGAGAGTTAGCCATTCAGATCGAGAGACAAGCCAAAGAGCTGATGCGTGGCCTGCCCCGCATGAAGACCGTGCTTCTCGTAGGGGGCTTGCCACTACCACCACAGCTCTACCGCCTACGACAGCACGTGAAGGTGAGAGCCCGCCCACTTTAGAACATGTGTCTCTCAACCATATGGTGAGTAGTCAAGGAGTTTGCTTCTCTTGAGGAGCTATTGAATGTGACTTTTGGTTGGTTTTAAATTCTTGCCAAATAAGCCTGACTCTTTTGATGTTTGTTTCCTGTAGAAGTGGAGGAAACACATCTTACTGAGTGATTAACATGTGCCAGAGACTGTTAACTGTTCTATCATGCATTACCACATTATTCACCATATTTGCTTGCTGTAGAGGTGTGTGATCAAAGCTTGATTTTTATGACTGGGAAGTTGACTTTTCAAAAGAATGGACTAGCACAGCGGGTAGGGCGTTTGCCTTGCACGTGACTGACCCAGGTTTGATTTCTTTGTTCCTCTTGGAGAGCCTGGCGAGCTAACGAGAGTATCCTGCCCACATGGCAGAGCCTAGCAAGTTCCCTGTGGCGTATTCGATATGCCAAAAACAGTAACAGTGAGTCTCACAACAGAGACGTTACTGGTGCCCACTTGAGCAAAATTGAACAACGGAGGACAGTGCAGTGCAGTGCAGTGCAGTACTATCCTACGAGCAATGTCCCATATTTATATAATGATAGAATCAAGAAATTAGCATCAATACTTGTAATACATCGGAAAATAACATTCTGGAATCTGAACCATAGTACAGCAGGGAAGGCCGTGCCCTTCGCCAACCCAGGTTTGATTCCCAGCACTGCATATGGTCCCTGATCACTGCCTGGAGTGATCCCCTGAGCACAGAACCGAAGAGTAACCTCTGAGCGTATGGCCCTTCTCCATCCCCCTAAAAGGACATTCTCTATAGAACTTGCTCACTTAATTCTCTTATATTGCCATCTTAATTTGAATACTTTCTCCAGTACCCTTGAATGACGGGCCAGGCTTATCTTGTTTTTGCCTTGTCTTAGACCTGGAACTGTGCCTTTCCCTAGTGCACTCTGACACCATTTGTTGCAGTATGATTAGCAACCAGCATCTGGGCTCGAGGTTGGGCTTGCTGTGGTGCTGCCATTGCATCTGGGCCCTCTCCATGCATAGAGAGAAAATTCCCCAGTGGGCCCCTTTTTCCATCTCTTGTCATCGGACCCCCCCCACCCCCTGGTTTATGTTGATTCTGACAATACATCAAGGTGGATTTTCCATGTTTGTGATTCAGTGGGGGTAACCTGTGGCACATTATCCTTTATGTGGCTGGATATTTGACCAGCTCCCCAGTGTGCAAATGGTCTTCCCTTATCACCTCTGTCCTCTGCCTTTCTCACCAGGCCTCAGTGCCCTCCTGAGGCCTCCCCCTTCCAGCGGTTGTTGCCCGTCCTTCGGCCAGGCCATGGCCCTACCTGCCACACTCAGGGACTCTCAGACTGAAACATCTGTCTGCTCAGCACAGTCGTCTTTCAAGAGCAAGAGCAAAAGAAAGACCCTTCAGCTAAACAGCACTCAAAAGTGTTCACATATCAGCAAACCAACTCCTGGACTAAGGTGTTTGGCAGAAAAGGATAGGATTCAGAAAGGAAGATGTGGGATTAAAGGGGGAAAAGGAAACACGTGAGGTGCAAACATTCTCTTAATAATAAAGAACAACAGGGATGGGGTTAAATACCTCCCAAACTGTTTATGGTTCCCCAAGAACTGCCAGAAGAGATCCCCAAGCACTGAGCCAGGAGTCAGTAAACCCTGAGCATTGCCCATGTGTGGCCTATAAACATGCCCCCCCCTCCAAGAAAAAGAATTCTGATTATCAGAAAAAAATTGTGAAGTGAGATGATGGATTTTTTGAGTATTAGGGAAGTCTACTGAGGTCCTCTCCAGCTGTGATTGATACTAAATTTCCTCAATCACTTCCTGTCTATACAGGTGTGGCACAACAATTACATTGGATCATTTGCTTGTAATCTGAAGAGGATACAATGTCACAAAGTTAACTTATCAATTATAAGGAAGTCAAATACTGGTAGTTTCAAAGTATAGGAAGATTAATATGAAAGGATTTTTCCTTGATTGACTTTTGGAGGCCCCCACCCCCCAGCAGTGCTTGGGGGCAGTCCAGGGATCAAACTCCATCCTTTTTAGCCTTCTCCCTGGCCCTTTTCTTGATTGTTAAAGCAAAAGATTAGATCATCAGTTAGACTTCATTAGATAAAATATGTTTATAAAAATTCAAGGTGAAGACTAAAAGAATGGAGTGGGAGTGTTATGTGAGTTTCAAAAAAGTTGTGGGTGCGGGACCTTCGGTGTGGAGAACCATTCCCCTGACTGGCCCACAGCTGCGGATGTACAGTAGTTCAGGAAACGGAGAAATAGGGCCCCAGGCTTGTTTGTTTATTTCAGTTTATTTCTCTCTCCTCCTCAGCGTAGTCTGATCTCTCCCTTACAGCACAGTCATAGTCGTAGTTTTGGTCATCGCCCCAGTCATCATAGTTCCATCGTTTTAGTCTCCTTGTAGACCGCAAAGTCCTCTACCCCTCTTACCCCTTGCAGCATAGTTATATAGAAATCTTGAAGGGGGTAACATAGGTGGGGTTGAGCATTGTCATGACAACAAACAGACGTAAAGGCACTCCTTCAGGGGAAGTTCTAGGAGATTAACTCAAGACACAATCTCATTTGAGGATTCAGCACTCCAGATTACTAGGAGATCCGCTCAAGGGTGGGATTCCATTTAGGGTGCATTGCTTTCGCCTTTCCTCAGCTAGTAATCCATTTAACCAATCATAGTAAACTTCCTTCTTTGTAATATTTCTAGTCATTCTGTATGAACACAGTAAGAGATATATTAAGCTTAAAGGTTGGCTCTTCCTTGGGACATCTTGCTATATATCCCAGACTATAGTCCTTAAACCAGATTAGTCTTTCCTAAACCCAACAGGGTCCTTATTCAGTTACTTCTTTTGGGGTCATGACAGAGTTTGTCCATGACCGTGCTCTTATTATACTTCTTATGGCACTTAGGTTGTCCCTTTCCATTGCTATGGTAGCTTACAGCTTGCTCTGGGTCCATCCAGTCTCTTCGTTGGGACCCTCCTTTTGGGGGTGATAGGAGGTAAGGGTAACTGAGGCTTAAGTCACGTAAATATGATGGATGCCCAGTAGTAAATATTATTTGAAGTCAATTAACTCCCATGCTACAAAAGCATAGCATCAACTGTCTTCCTGTGTCTATGCAAAAAGGACATTGCTAAATAAACCATGCGAAGGAAATAAAGGAAAGAGAAAAGCAAAATAGAATTATTAGTGCCTGATGGAGTTGGTTATGCCTCAGGAGCACTGTTGTGAGAGTAACTCAGTAAACCTAAGCTCCCTGCGGGAGCAGCAAGGACAACCCAGTGGTATCCGACAGGTGTTTGTCTAGCTTCCCCATCAGCAGAGTGGAAAATGGGTGGAAGTGATGGTCCTTCTAAAGGAATTAAAATGGGTTCCACTGAAGGTCGTGTGTGGAGCTCTGTAGTCGTGCAGACACAGGTCCTTGACATTGTGCCCTTCTCAGCAGTTTTACCATTGTGTTGGTGTCTATTTGAAAAGTGGAATGCAATTAAATGTAATAGGTCATTTGTAACTCGGTTGTACTTGATGCCACGCCCAGTCTCATTTTCTCCCTCATCGTAATCGTTATTATTTCCACTTTATGGATGGGAGAACAGAGACTCATGCTATTATATTAGACATTAGATTCCTACCACGTTTGTTTAACCAAAGAGCCCCTTCTTTAACCACTGCTTCAGTGAGCATATTATAAACTGTTAAGAGCCTTGAGCAAGCATAGAAGTCGTTTATGGCAAACATCTTAATTTGAAAATACAGCAGCAGGCTCAAGCAGGAAGGAGATCACACTTGTATATAGTGCTGCCTCTTGGTCACGCCAGGTGCAGGGCCCCTCTTAGGGGGAGTTCCTGCCTTGGGGACTTCTGTGCCCCCACCCCCAGACCTTTCCCAGCTTTAGTGACTGCCCCAGCCTCACATGGCCTCTTCCCCTCGCTGTCTTCCCTGCTCCTGGACCCATCCCTCCACTTCCTGACATTCCTCTGTTCTGTTTCTGTCTTCTAGTATGAGCTTCATGAGGGCAGAGAATACCAAGTGCCTAACAGTATCTGGCACAAATCGGCCACTCAGAAGTATGGCGTGAAGGGCCAAAGAGATAATACAGGGGTCATGGGGCATGTCTTGCTTGTGGCTGACCCTGGTTCGATCTCCAACACCCCAACACCACACAATTCCCTGGTGACTCCTGAGCACCGCCAGGGCAGCCTGGGTAATGCCCAGCACTGCAGCCTGAGCAGCATTGTCTCCTTATGCCCGGCATTGGTCCTCTGGCATCATAGGTTGCGAGCCACTGAGACTGAACGCTGCTCGGAAGCCCCCTTCAATCCCCCACATAAATGTATATAGAATGAATGTGAATAGTATCTAAACTTTTTATCCCAATTTTATTTTAATGCACGAAGCTTTCATTTTCTTCTTTGGGGGGTGTGGGAGGCATACCCAGTGATGCTCAGGGCTAACTCTTGGCTCTGCACTCAGTGTGCATTCAGGAATTACTCCTGGCGGGGCTGCGGGGGACCCAGGTGGGATGCCGGAGATTGAGCCACATGTAAGGCAAGCATCTTACCTGTAATGTCTCTCCGGCCCCTCATCTTCTGTTACTGTTTTGTTCTGTTTTGTTTTGTTTTTCTGTTTTCTCCTCCCCTTCTCTGTGTGTTGTAGTGACTGGGGTCTTCACACTTGGCCGTGATGCCGCAGAAATTAACACAGCTGTGGGGACTGGGGACCCCCACGGCAGGGCCACTGTGAGCTCGCTGGCAGACACTCTATGGCGGACTCTCCTGGGCCCCTCAGTCTCATCCTTCTATTTCTTTCTTCTCTGTTACTCAGGTTATCATCGCCACGCCTGGGCGGCTCCTGGACATCACGAAGCAGAGCTCGGTACAGCTCGGCAATATCAGAATGGTAGTGATAGATGAAGTAAGTATGACGTTCAGAAGCGTTGCTCACATAATTGTATATCCTTTCTAAGATGTGCGTGACAGTAACGACATAGGTCATTGTGCATTTTCCCCAAAGGGGACGGATTCAGGGGTTGCTCTTTTTTATTTTGGTTTTGGGCCACACCCAGCAGTGCTCAAGGCTACTCCTGGTACAACTCTCAGAAGACGGGACTGTGCTGGACTTGAACCCAGTTCTCCTGCCGACACTGCGACACTTAGTGCATTGAGCTCTCTCTCTAGCCCCTTAGGAAATTTTTGGGGGGAAGGTGATTTGGGGGCCACAACCAGTGGTGCTCAGGGGCTTCTTCCAGCTGTGCTCAGCGGTGGCTCCTTGACGCTCAGGGGACCATGCGGTGCTCGGGATCAGACCTGGACCTCCTGTGTGCAGAGCATGCGTGCAGCCTGCCGAGCCATCTCTCCGGCCTGAGGATGACTTTTTACTCACATAGCGGCTCTGAAGCTGGTTCCTTCCTTGCTTGCAGCTACTACACTCAAGTATAATGCACCAAAATTTAAAGCCCGACTCTTTTCCTAGTGACCAAAACCCGGATTCAGCAGGTACTACATTTGTTTGTTTGTTTTCTAAATAAGAGGTCCTTGCTCTTACCAGCTGACAAAAATAGAGGACTGGTGGCGAATGCTTATTAGTAGGAATTGTGAAAGTTGCCAGGAGGAAAACTGATGTTTTGTGTTGTGGGCATTGAACAAGTGATCTTTGGGCATTGCCTTGCTGCGCTGCAGAGTGGATAAGCCTTGTGCTTCGGGCTGGCCTCGGGAAGTGACATGAACCTGTTAGTTAACATTGATGCCAGAACATCCCTTGAACAGTGATCGAGCACCCAGTGGTGACACAGCCCAGACTGGGCACTGCTGTCCCTACCACGTATGCCTGCCTTCCACCGAGGCGGGTGCCCAGGGGTCCAGCAGGGGTAAGGAATGTAGGGGAGCTTGGTGCTGATTACCCAAGGCACCCCAGCTGCTCTGGCCCCTGCCCCCAGCAGTAGTAGGATCCCCAAGGGTCTCATGAGAACCCCTCGAATTCACAAACTTGTGGGACCCTGCCTGGACAAGTTAGGATGAAGCATGGCTGTGACAATGTCTCTGTGACTGTCAATCCTCATATGAACATAAGAGAAGAGTCACCGTTCCTTTAGGAAGTGCCCTGAAGTCAGGGTTTTTCTCCATGGCCTTTTATGGTAGAACTAATTCCTCGCCCCTGATTAGCATCAGACTTGCCGCCTGCTTGCAGGTGCAGCCAGCCTCCCTCTGCAGAAAAGCTCTAGTCCAAGTTCCTACTCAGGCTCCCTGAGAAAGGGTCCTCATGAGGGCATCCCCGCTTGCTTCCTCTCACTCTGGCTTCTCCTGGCAGCATGTTTTCATTGTCTCTGGTGGATGGGGTTTCCCTGGACCCCTTGGTGTGGAAGCTCCTGGTTCGGGTCCAGCACCAGAATCCACTCCGCAAACATTCCGAGCTTGCACTCCGAGCAGAGCCTTGCTCAGCTCCCTGCCCAAATCCCCGTGGCATTTCTGCTGGAGCCACTCAGATATCGCCAGTGTGTAAACGAGGGGTCTGTTTCCCTCTAACACTGTCCACAGACAAGGAAAAGGCCTGGCTTTGTCCTCAGAATCCTGGCTAGTGCCTGTTAGAGACTGCGAGTCCTTAGCAGGGCTGAGCTGGAGCGTGGGGTCAGGGGAGGATATGTGAGTGGCCCGTGGGAGAAGGCTTGCTGCAGGTAACAGGCATGGACCTGGGCCTACAGGGAGGGTATCTAGACAGTGGGGAAGCACTGTCACATGCTCCAGGTACTGAGACCATGCCAGCAGGGTCAGAGCCTGTGGCCACCCTGGCCAGCTGCAGTCCAGCCCCCTAAGAGGGGCCGGCGGGTTGTGTCGTCGGGGTGGGGTCAGATTATAGGGGGCCTGGGCCAGGGAGGCAGCGGCATCCGGGTTTGATGTGGGAGACTTATAGGCCCCCTTAAATGATGGGGTTGGGGTGTGACCTGTTTGAAAGTGGTGGTTTATTCTGCTGCTCCGTGCAGGAGAAATGAAAGGAGAAAAAGGAAGAACCAGCACTCCAGACCAGGGCCAGAGATGGGAGGAGACCGTCTGAGGAGACAGGTCGCCGCTGAGAACAAATGAGCCTTGGGAGGAGGGCGCCCAGAGGCTGCTGAGGGGCTCCTGGAGGACCACAGGCTGGGTGGGGCCCCAGCATATTTGGGCTTGGGTTTGGTCTTAGAAATGTAGCGTTCATGTGACTGAGGGGTGCAGGGGCAGTCACTTGTGGCTTTCGAAATGCTTGTTAGAAGCCGGGAGAAACTGGGCTAAGAGGATGGTTAGACAGTTGAGGAGGGGTCAGGAAACCAACAAGTAAAGGCCGGAGAGATAGAGCGGGGTACCAGGCCCTTGTTCAGTGCCCAGCACTGCATAGCGCCCCTGGAGCCCTTGCAGGAGTAACCCTGGCGTGGTCCCAAAATCAAAAAAACCAGGGTGTGTTCTGAGGGTCTGAGAGGCCAGAGGGGAGCGGAGAGCCGGCAGAGGAGGAAGGCTCCGGAGCCTGGAATCCCCCAGGACTCAGGAGGGAGTGCTCTAGGCAGCACAGAATGAAGACCTCCTGTTCACCAAGAAAAGCTTTAGTTCTCCATCAAGATCCAGTGATGCTGGCCTCCACACAGAAGGGAAAGACTAATAGTCTGTTTTATTTATTTATTTATTTGTAGTGAGTTCGATTCCTCCGCCCCTCTCGGAGAGCCCGGCAAGCTACCGAGAGTATCTCGCCCGCACGGCAGGGCCTGGCAAGCTCCCCGTGACGTATTCGATATGCCAGACACCGTAACAACAAAATCTCCAATGGAGACGTTACTGGGCCCGCTCGAGCAAATTGACGATCAACGGGAGGGCCTTTACTTTACTAGGCAGAGCCTGGCAAGCTCCCCATGGCATATTCGATATGCCAAAAACAGTAACAATAATGAGTCATTCCCCTGAGAGAGCCTCCAATATGGCTGCATTGGGAAGGACGAGTAAGGAGAGAATGCTAAAAATCTCAGGGCTGGGATGAATGGAGACATTACTGGCGCCCACGCGACTAAATTAACGAACAATGGGATAACAGTGATACAGTAGTACCAGGGATTAAACCCAGGTCTCAGGCATGGGCTTGACCCCTGAACCACATCCCTGCACAACTCTCCCTAAATCCCCTGCAAAGATTCAAATTTTACATTTAATATCTTAATATCATAGTATAGACAACAAGTCTACAGTGAAAAAAAAATAAAATCAAACTTTGGATATGTTGAAAAATGAAACTGTCCCCACATCCCACCTCAACTTGAAGGCTTGAAAGCTTTCTCAGAATAGCAATCATATTTCTCATGTTGGGGGCCCCTCCAGAATGCTGGGGTAGGTGCGGTACTTTATAATCAGGGCACACAAGTGCTGGGGTAGGTGGGGAGGATTGTGGTGCTGAGGATTGAACTCAGTGCCCCTGCATATAAATGCTCCAGCCCCTTGAACTATTTCCCTGGCCCTAGATGTTACATTTCTTGAATGTGGTTACAAATGGTATCATGTTCTCCTATGAACATCTGTATCCTGAGCTTAACCTCCTACCAGAGATTTATTATCATATAACTAAGGGCCTTTTGAGTATTTCTCATAATTTATTTCTTAGGCCCCCTATTTACGGATGAGCTGTATTGAAGAATTTTGTCACTATATATAATGCCATAATGAAAAGCCGCGTGTCATCATCATTCTCATATAGTTTCTCTATCTAAATACATGTTTTTTTTCCCCAGTTGCTTCTCTGTCCTTTGATGTGGTAGACTTTTCTGAATTATGTGGAATATTCTTTTATGTTTAGGCATTTAATTCTATCAGTCCTTCTTTGGGTGGCTCTGAGTGTCAGTGTCAGGCAGAACTGATTCTCCGATGGTTTTGTTTTAGGCCGACACCATGCTAAAGATGGGCTTTCAACAGCAGGTGCTTGACATTTTGGAAAATGTCCCTACTGATTGTCAAACCATTCTGGTTTCCGCTACAATTCCAGCCAGCATCGAACAACTAGCAGGCCAACTCCTGCAGAATCCTGTGAGAATCATCACGGGAGAAAAAAACCTACCTTGTTCCAACGTGCGTCAGATTGTTTTGTGGGTGGAAGAGCCAGCCAAAAAGAAAAAGTTATTTGAAATCTTAAATGTGAGTGGTTTACCTGTTCTATGGATTGGTTTTCATTTTACAGTACTTAAGAAAATGATTCTTAGACTCAGCTTTTGGGGGAAGTTGAGAGTTATTTGATACTAGTGTTACCTACCTCAGAATTCCCTGAGGGTCAGAAAAGTATTTATTTATGAAAGCATGCTGCATAGACACTGGGTTGGCTTCCTTTTTCTCATAGAGAGATTTTTATTTATCAAGATTAGTCCTAAATAGGGCTAGAGTGATAGCACAGCAGGTAGGGCGTTTGCCTTGCACGCGGTCGACCTGGGTTCGATTCCTCTGCCCCTCTTGGAGAGCCCAGCAAGCTACTGAGATTATCTCACCCACACGGCAAAGCCTGGCAGCTACCCATGGCGTATTTGATATGCCAAAAACAGTAACAACAAGTCTCACAGTTTGTTGTGAGATGTTACTGGTGCCCACTTGAGCAAATCGATGAACAACGGGAGGACAATGCTACAGTGCTACAGTCCTAAATAAGATTTAGTTGTTTCAAAACATCTGAGTTGGATATGTGAGCTTAAGTTTTTGGGTTATTTTGTTTGTTTGCTTGTTTTGTTTTTGTTTTTGTTTGGGGGCGACATCCTTCAACACTCAGGGATTATTTCTGGATCAGCACGCAGGAATTACTCCCAGCAGGGATCGGGGACCATATGGGATGCTGAGGATCAAACGTGGATCAAGCACCCTACCTGCTGTGTTGTCTCTCTAGCCTTGTGAGTTTAGTTTTATTTGTGCATTGAAGACAAGTTCTTGGTTAGTCTATCTTTGAAATAAATTTTATTTAATAGTAACTAGCTTTAAGAAGGGGGATGTGACTTAGTACTGTAGCACTTGCCTTGTATAGAGTTTGATCCCCAGCACTGACTGTGGAAAAAAAAGGTAAAGGTAAAGGCCCTCCCGTTGTTCGTCAATTTGCTCGAACGGGCCCAGTAACGTCTCCATTGGAGACTTTGTTGTTACTGTGTCTGGCATATCGAATACATCACGGGGAGCTTGCCAGGCTCTGCCGTGCGGGCGAGATACTCTCGGTAGCTTGCTGGGCTCTCCGAGAGGGGCGGAGGAATCGAACTCGGGTCGGCCATGTTGGCTGCGTGCAAGGCAAACGCCCTACCACTGTGCTATCGCTCCAGCGGGAAAAAAATAAAAAGAAAAAGTAAAAAAAGAACTAGCTTTAACAGAAACTTGTGAAGTGGATAGTATGTACAAGCGTGATTACTTAAAACTATAGCATTAAGTTAAACAAACATATATTTATTCAAAAATGGCATTTAAAACTGCACAGAAAGATAGCACAGTGGGGAGGGTGCTTGCCTTGCACACTTGACCTGGATCCAATGCCCAGCCCCCAGAGATTCCTCTAAGCCTACTAGAAATGATCCTGGAGTCAGTAAACCCTGAGCATTGCTGGGTGTGGTCCCAAATCCAAACTAAACCAAAAAAATGCATTTAAACTTTTTTTTATTCTTGTGCAGTGAGGTGAAGGAGAAATGTGAAGGTTAGTGAAGGTTAGTCAATTTCCTATTTTAAGGAAATCCTTCATTTTAATAGACTCCTTTTTTTCTCCTCTAGAGCAATGTTTATAACCCTATTATAAACCTATTGATAACCAGCTTGTACTGATGCTTCCAGGAAAAGGTTCTGTTCTGCAGTGTTCTCTGAGTGATTTCACAGGCATGTTTTTTAGGACAGGAAGCTTTTCAAGCCTCCCGTGCTAGTATTTGTGGACTGCAAACTTGGAGCAGACCTTCTAAGTGAAGCCGTGCAGAAAATCACTGGTCTAAAAAGCACGTCCATGCATTCTGAGAAGTCACAGATGGAAAGGAAAAGTATCCTGGAGGTTTGACATGCTGCTTTCTGTTCTCTCCTCCTTCCTGTCAATCTATTTTGCCTCATTTTCAAAAGACACCATATTACTGGTGGGTTTGTGAGAAAGCCTTTCCCCAGAGCCTATTTGACCCTCAGAGTTCAGGCACGGGCCCTGACTGTGATTGTTCCTCTTGCTTATGCTCCTGTATTTGAAGAGCAGCAAGCCTCCACTGGGCTCTGTTTAGTACTAAATAGATCACCAATTTGGAAGTCACCCCTCTGAAATCAGCTCTATTCCTGGGCAGAGCAGTAGGGTGCCTGGGGAAGAGAGGTGTGTGTGTGTGTGTGTGTGTGTGTGTGTGTGTGTGTCTGTTGGGGGGGGGTGGGCAGAAGACAATGAAACAACAAACATGTCTCAACAAACATTTACTTGATTGAAAAGATACCACAGCAATAATACTGAAGAAAAAAAAAACACCTTAGATTGTAGAAAATTGCCAACGTCAATTCTGAATGACAGCTTTGGTTCCTTTTTTGGAAAGGGACTGCTGGAAGGAGACTACGAGGTGGTGGTGAGCACTGGAGTGCTGGGGAGAGGCCTGGACTTGATCAGCGTCAGGCTGGTTGTCAACTTCGACATGCCTTCCAGCATGGATGAGTATGTGCACCAGGTAAAGAGGGGTGCTGCCGCATTTTACAGGAAAACTGAAGCTTCGCAGTGAACATCAAACTTGATATATTTTTGCTTTGTGAGAGAGGGGTCATACCTGGCAATGCTCAGGGCTTATTCTTGGCTCTGGATTCAGGGATTATACCTGGCCATGATCAAGGGACCATATAGAATGCTAGGGATTGAACCCAGATCAGTTGTGTGCAAGGCAGGTACCCTATCTGCTATACTCTTTTTCCAGTACTCTCTTTCTTTCTAAACAGAGTGTGTGTGTGTCTGTGTGTGTGTGTGTGTGTGTGTGTGTGTGTGTGTGTGTGTGTGTGTGTGTATTCTCAGGATCAGACCTAGGTCAGTATTCAAGACAAGTTCCCTACCCACTGTACTATTGCTTTGGCACCTCCAGCCCTCTATTTTTGCTTTTAAAATCTAATTGTAGGGGTGGAGGTGGGCTCAGTACCTGTTAGGAGTGCCTGTGGGAAGCTTCAATTCTTCCATTCCCACACCACGTGGTCTCTTAGACATGGCTGGGAGTGAGCCCTCTTCCCCATGTACCTTTGCTTATAGCACAAAAGTGAAAAAAGGTTTCCTTGGGGCAGGAAGCTAGCTCAGTGGGCCACAGGGCATGTGTTGCATGTAGGAGGCTGTGGGTTCAGTCTCCACACAATTCCCTAAGCACTACCAGGGTTGAACCCTGAGCAGTGAGCTGGGTGTAACCCTGTGCACCGCTGTGTGTGGCATCCACAAGTATAATAATGTAATTTTTACAATAATATCAACAAAATTTTCATATAGGTATGAAGCTGGGAGGATCACTCGAATGGTCAGAGCACATGCCTGGCATGTGTAAGGCACTGGCACACGTGCAACATCACTGACGTGTCCCTGAGTACCAGTAGAGGTGGTCCCTCTGAGAAAATCCAAAAACAACTATACGTGCACCTAAAATGTATTTAAGAGGACTGGGAGCAATAACCTAAAATGTTGGTTTTAAAGCTGTGTGAAGCAGTTTGTTTTGGTTTCCTTTTATTTCCTTTGTACCTCTTCAATGAACACTTTAAATAAGTGCCTTTTATTTTCAGGGGGAAGAAGGGGACTTTGTTTTCAAAGATTGTTTTAAGTTGATAGAGCGGGCCCAAATAAACTCTATCCGCTCAAGGATTTGTTTTTCAGGAATCTTGTCTTCATCTCCTTTTCCCGTCCGTAATTGTTCTAGTCTTTCCCCGTGTCAGGTTTTGCTCCTTTCCTTTGCTGCCGGAGAGAACAGTAGTTCGTCTTTCTAGCAGAGAACTGGAGCTCTCTCTCCTCTCCGCTCTGTTATCTCCCTGCCACTGCCTGGCTGCCTTCTCTGGCATCGCTTACAGCCTCTTCAAGGAGAGCCTTTCTCTCTGTTGGTAGAACCACCTGCACACTGCATCCGTTAAGCTTCTAGTGCCTTCCATGCATTATTGCTTTCATTCTCACTTAAACTTAGCAAGCACTGCAGCCTCTCCCCCGCTCTCTTCATCTCTCTGTCTGCTTGTCTGTGTCTTGGTCTCTGTCTCTGTGTCTCTGTGTCTCTGTCTCTGCCTCTGTCTCTGCCTCTGCCTCCCCACTTCACTCACCTGTGCAGCAGGAGAGCCGAGTATTCTCCAGGAGTGTTACAACTGCCTTGTGTTCAGATTTCTCTTTTCATAGCCTGAGAGCGATCACTTTCTAAGATCCTGAAATACTGAAGACGCCCCTTTGCTGCTCAGGTTGATGTGAGTGCTCGGGATAGGAACTGAGCCTCTGCTGGCTGTTGCCTGGGTGACCAAGGCACTCAGTTCCTCATGGTGTACAAGGCTTGCATACAGCATGGCCTTGTGGATAGAATGGCCCCAGATCCTGCTGCCTATCTAGTTCTGTATTGGGGTGTATTTCTGTCTGGTGCAATAATGAAGGATTCATACCCCGATTACAATGCAAATGGCAAGAGATATAAAATGAAAAATAAGTCCTTCTTTTACCCTGGTGCGGGGGGGCACACCCAGTGCTACTCAGGGCTGCTCCTGTTACTCCTGGCCCTGTACCTGAGTGCAGCATTCTTGGTGGTACTCTGGGGTCCATATGTGGTACCAGGGACTGATCTGGGGTCAGCAGGGTGCAAGGCAAGCGTCTTAACCCCTGTACTCTCTCTCCAGCTTGCTCACGTGCTCGCTCACTCTCTCACTGCCAACACCCAACCTTCATTTTCTCTCAGAAGATATTAAGAGTTTATGTTAATATTTTTCAAATGTCCTTTGCTTTCACTTCAGGTTGGAAGAGTGGGAAGATTAGGTCAAAATGGAACTGCCATCACTTTCATCAATAACAATTCAAAAAGGCTCTTCTGGGACATTGCAAAGAGAGTGACACCCACAGGATCCCTGCTTCCCCCACAGCTGGTGAATTCTCCATACCTCCATGACCAGAAGAGGAAGGAGCAGCAGAAGGACAAACAGACAGTCACCGGGGCTAATCTTATGGACATCATTAGGAAACATGAGAAAAGTCAATCTCAGAAGTGATCCATTAGGCCACTTTCAATCATTTTTATTGGGCATTGTCAGTGAAAATGTTCATCTATCATTACTGTTCAGGTCGAAGTGAGCCAGGCACGTGAAATAGATGATGTGTGATTTTTAAAAATAATAGACTGTTGCATTTGTAACAGCAATATTGTGTTATGTCTCTTTTTAATTCTTAGAAATTAGAAATGACTTCAGAAAATGAACTGCTAAATCACTATCACTATCACCCCGTTGTTCTTCAGTTCACTCGAGTGGGCCCAGTAACATCTCCATTTGTCCCTGTTACATGCAAGTGTAGCCCGGTGACATATTGGGGACTCCTTCAGGGTCAGGGGAATGAGACCATTCATTGTTACTATTTTTGACATATCGAGTAGGCCACGGGTAGCTTGTGAGGCTCTGCCGTGTGGGCGGGATACTCTTGGTAGCTTGCCGAGCTCTCTGAGATGGATGGAGGCTTTTGGGGCAGCATCCAATCACCGTTACAGGTGTTCCTAGTCAGGCATACAGGTGGTTATGATAACTCTCAGTAGCCTTCCGGGTTCTCTGACAGTGAGAACTAGAGAATAAGAGGTCCCCGAGCAGACCCCGACAGCTGAAGACCTCCAGGACCCAGCCAAAGCCATGCTGAGACCACTCTCCACACGCTTGGATGAGGAACCGGCAGAGGAACCCAGGTGTGCGGGACCCCAGGGCTGAGATCTCCGAGCCTGCTCGGTTCGGGACTGGGCCTCCTCCACCCAGCTCCCCCACCTTCCGGTAGCTAGACAGTTACACCCACCAACTGCTGTGTAACCCCATCAACGGCCATCCAGAGACTATAAAACCAAGCTCCTGGAAGCTAAATGTTTTTTTTTTCTCCAATAAGATTTCTTTCTTTTTTAAACTTAAGTGTCCTCAGGCCTGCCATTGGCCTGGAAGCAGTAGTTCTTTTGTTTGAAATGGTGACACCAGCACTGCAATTTGTGTTCATTAAACCACATTTCAATGTGAGCCACCAGTGGTACACATCAGAGTCAACGTGGTGACGTTCCACCATGCTCCTCCCTTTGGCATATTGGCACTGGATTATTGTTGAATGAATATATGTTAGGAAGAATGCAAATAGTGGAAAATGGAAGAAATGGTCAATGTTGCTTGTTTTGGAGCCACACCCAGTGGTACTTGGGGGTACTCATGGCTCCATGCTCAGGCATTACTCCTGGTGGCACGGGGGGGAGGGGGCATATGTAGTATCAGGGATTGAACCCAGGACTCCTGCATACAAAGCATATGCTCCACTTCTTGGGGCTATCTCTCTGGCTTCGTCAGACTTACATTTCACTCTTCTAGTGATTTTTCACGACTGAGCTGGGAGCTAACTTGCTCTTTGCTCCTCTCCCTAGATTTCAGCAACATCTTTACTTAAGACCAAAATGATTGAAGTGGCTGTTAGACCCAGGACTGTGACGTGTCCAGGGTCTGAAGTCTCGTGAGTAATGCTCATAAGATATTTTCTATGAGTATTACCAAATACAGTTTTTAAAATCAGTGTTTTCCAAAAAGCCAGAGTGTGTTTCATAGCATATCTACGAAGCACATTGCCACTTTTTTAAGCCGTGACTCACCTTGATTCATTTACTGTAGTGAACAGACCCTGGTTGCCTGAACTGCCATATTCTCTGCTACCGTGAAAATCTTTTCCTTGGCAAGGCTAAATATTATCCAGGTCATGCCCTCCTATGGAATTCATGCCATCATACCTCTGACTGCTTTGTACGTGTTCTGCCCACTGCACCTGCCAGCAGGCTTGTGCCATCCATTTAGGTGAGTAAGTACAGGAAGTGATGCGTCATTTAAGGTGACTTTCCTGGCAGCCGTGAGTAAGCTGACTCTGGCCAGATAACACAATTTTGTTGTATCAAAGACCTGCTTAGAGTGTAATCAACAGCGGCAGGGCCAGTGTGAAACTAATCAATGGTTGGTGAGTTCACTGCCCTTATCCTGCTGCTTGTGGGAGGCCTACGTGACGATCAGATTTTTCTCATTCATGACACGTGTGGGGTTGACAGGTTGACGAAATTACAAATGAAAGAGTCGGGGTTGGAATTCAATGATAGAGCACTTGCCTTGGGTATGTGGGGGCCTGGATTTAATCCCTGGCACCACTTATATGCAACAAAAAACATATGAAGCTACAAACAATCATAAATATTCTCACAAATATGTTTTTAAACGCTTACAAAAGAATGTTTTGTTTTTCAGGGTTTTGGTCTACAGCTTGCTGTGCTCAGGGATCATTCCTTAATGGGCTCAAGGGCCTGCAAGGGTGCCAAGGATCAAACCCATGGCATCCAGGTGCAATACAAGTGTCCTACCAGCTGTACTATCTCTCTAGCAATCTTAGTGTTCTGAACAAATTTCCACATCTTTACTTTTTACATTACTAATACTGCTACTCCTTAGCTTTGTTATTTGTAAGTGAGGTTTGCTTTCTGTTTCTCTGAGATCCTTCCTCCAGAATCTAATTTTTCCAGCCAGAGACGCTCAGAGGCTTCCCTAGGCTCAGGAACTCATGCTCAGGGGACCAGATGCTATGCGGGGGCTGGAACTTAGGCTGCTCCTATGCAAAACATGTGCTCAGTACCTTGATCTATCTCTTCAGCCTCTCTCCATCATACTTTGAAATCTCCATGTTTGGACTGTGCTTCTAGATAATGCAGGGTAGGAAGTCTGAATGAAACAAGATTGGTCAAGAGTTGGTCATTATTGGGACTGGAGCAATAGCATAGCAGGTAGGGCATTTGCCTTGCATGCGGCCAAGCCAGGTTCGATTCCCAGCATCCCATATGGTCCCTTGAGCACCACCAGTGGTAATTCCTGAGTGCAGAGCTAGGAATGACCCCTGTGCATCACCGGGGGTGACCCAGAAAGCAAAAAAAAAAAAAAAAAAAAAAAAGTTGATCATTATTTTGTCTTTTGTTTTGGAGTCACAACAGGCTGTGTCAGGTTTTCTCCTGGCTCTGTTTTCAGTAATCGCTCCTGGTGGGCTCAGGGAAGCATATGGGGTCCTGGGGAGCGAATCCAGATCAGCTGTTTGCAAAGCAAATGCCCTTTCTATTGTACTATCTCTCTAGCCCACATTATCATTGATGCCAGGAAGTAGATGTGTGGAAATGCATTGCTACTTGGTCTACACTTGACGTATTTGAAATGTTCTATAATAACTTTTGGTTCTTGGGGGAATTTCCCCAATAATGTCAGGGCCCATCATTGAAAAAAGTTCAATCACCATCACCCAATGGTTCTTGGGAAACCTTGAGTTGCTGGAGATTGAGCCTGGAGCCTGGAGCATGATAGATCTTTGAGCTACCCCTGTCCCTAAAATCTTTGCTATATAACCTCTTCTCCATTCTTTGCACTTGTGCCTTTGGTTGTATCTTCAACTCTCTTTTTGGGCTCTTTGAAATTTGTGGGCTTAAATCCAGCTGGTCTAAAGCTAAATTTTTCATCTTTACTAAGAATAATTGGGTCGGCCATGTTGGAGCGATAGCACAGCAGGTAGGGCGTTCGCCTTACACGTGGCCAACATGGCCGACCCGAGTTCGATTCCTCTGCCCCTCTCGGAGAGCCCAGCAAGCTACCGAGAGTATTCGATATGCCAGACACAGTAACAACAAAGTCTCCAATGGAGACGTTACTGGGCCCGCTCGAGCAAATCGACGACCAAAGGGAGGGCCTTTACCTTTACCTTTACCTAAGAATAATTGAATTGGGAAGGATAGGTGGTGAGGCAGGACAGGGGTCTAAGAAACTTGCTTGCCTGCATCCCTCTGACCCAGGTTTGAATTCTGGGACCACACATGTCTTCTGAGAACCACCAGGGATCATTCCTGAACACAGCCAGGAATAATCTTGAGCACCAACAGAAAAAGCCCCAAAACTAAAGTAAAAAAAGAAGAAAAAAGTTCAACAGAAAAAGCCCCAAAACTAAAGTAAAAAAAGAAGAAAAACGTTCAATTTTTTCTCTTCCTTCACTCCTTAAAACATGCTCAAACCCATGGGGTCCTCAAGAGTTCAATTCTCACATCTACTTAGTCACTGATTTGCTTATTTTTCAAATTTTCTATACTTTTATACTCCTGCATACATACTGGACCCCATTGCCTCAAATCCACAATCTATGTTAAGCCTTGGAACCGAAGTTCTAATTCTACAACCGTGTCACTCCTCGCCCTCCAGTCCAGAGCGGGAGAAGAGCCTGTGACTGTGTCACTATTCAGCGATTTCCCTCAGCAGCTCCCGGCAGCCAGTAGCATCCAGTCTCGCATGTGTAGAGATGAATATCCTTCCTGTTCAACAGGGTAGCGCTGAAATAGAGCCACAGAACAATTTAAAATGAATGTGGTCTCATTTGCTTATGGGGTTGAGGGCAGAGGAAAGCCCAGCTGTGCTAAGAGACTGGGACCCCAATGGTCAGGTGACTCTTGGGGTACATCTCTGAAGCTGTGTATGTAGATGTGCAGAATTGAGCCAACCTGAGATGCCTTGGCTACCCCACCCCCACCCCCAGTACCCACCGTCATCCCAATCTGCAGTCTCCCAAGCTCTCTCCAGGCTTCGGCAGTTCTCTGCCTGAAGTTCCAGTGTTCCTTCCCCAGAGGCGGCCTGCAGCTGCTTTTCAGGCTGCCCTCCTCAGCCCGTGTCTGGGGTTTGTACTTGCATGCTCAGATCCTTTTATTGTGGTTTCCCTCCTCCACCCCCTTTCCCCCCCGTAAATTCTTGATAGCTGGGATTGACGTGAGCTGGAAGTTAGCACAGCGATTTGGTATCTGTGGTGGTGGGGATGCCAGGACCAAATCCAGGGCCTTGTCCCTGCGAGGCAAACGCTCAGCCACTGAGCACAGCCCAGGCCTGGAAATCATCAGATTGTTTTCTGACCTGTGTTCGAATCCCTCCTTCATGTAATCCATGTTCCTGCTTTTTTCCATCCGTTCTGTAGGGCTAGCCATGGGGGCCTTTTCTGCCCACCCACTCAGAACGGGGAGATAAAACCGTTCATCAGAAGTTCAGCGAAGACATCACAGCATCAGGACTTAGCGGCAGACTTTCTGGGGCTGCTACGTCACTGGCTACCTAACAAATTTCCAACATGACTTAAAGGACTCAAAGACTGTGTTAGGGAAAGGACGACTTCAGTTAAAACCCGATAATATTTGCATTGAAT